AGCGTTCGAGACCAGGAATCATCACCTCCACCCACGCAGCTTCGCCCCAGTCCCGGACAGATGAGGTTTGCGTCAGCAAGCTGTGGTGAGGTCACATGCAAGCCAAAATTCCCACACAACCAGAACTCTCATGAATCCAGACTACGATAAACTTTCGTTTCCATTCCACAAATTTTACGGCATAAAGACTCCGTCTTTCCTACCTTACTCAATCTTTCCTTTCTTTCCCCCAATCTCTCAGAACCTGCCATCCCAATCATTCAAAATCCGACTGTCAAGTTGAACAAAACATCAAAGGTCCATCAACCCTAGCCAAAACCTTCAACAAACCAAACCCAAGTGTCTTCTATCAAACCTTCTTGGAGTTTCATCGACCAAACTGCGCAATTGTTACGCCTCGACGTCGAGTTAATGAAGACGACCAACCATTCAACAAGACTCGACCCGCCGACTCCCAGTCGCCCATAAACCTACAGCACGCACAACCACGCGAGAAAGCGACCAGGAACCCAAAGACAATCAATCGCCGACGATGGTGCAGTAACCCGACGACTCGTTTCGAACAAAACACTAACGCCAACAATTTCTTGCCGGTCGACCTCGCCGAGACTTTTGTCTGTCCGGAGCCTGCAAGCGGCAACAAAACCAGTCAACTCCGCGACCAAAAGAACGACTGGTGCAGAAAGCAACATACCTTACCTATCCAACCCTTATCTGTCGCCCTCGCCCGACTGATGGCCAATGATGATACTTGTCCAACCCCAGATGCTTTGCTTCTGGCGAGTTGCTGTCGACACTGAGGCTGTTGGGCGAACGATCGAACCGGGGGATCTGAAAGAAAACAAGGGTGTCAGCCGAAGCTAAGTAAGTGCGTTGAGAACTCTCACAAAAGTCGTAACTAGGTATGCTTCTCATCGGGACAAAGTCTCTGAGCTAAAAGATATATCATCATAGAATGTCACCCACCTGGGAGGCCAATATCGGGGGGCCTGCAGCCGGTGATGATACTCAACCAGGTGTCTGTCTTTTAGACACGACCGTCATTAAGAGGCTGAGGCTGTTGAGCTGCATAACTGGGATCATGGGGGCAATGGTCGGAATTGAGCTACGCGTGTTGGCTCGATGCAGGTTGCTGTGACGGTACCAGAATGCCCTGGACATAGAGACTGATAATGTACCGAGTGCAGGATGACGAGACGACAAGCAACGGTAAAGAAGAAGATCGAAAGGAAGATGTTGAGACGAGTAAAAGTGCTCGAAGAAGAGATGGAGGACGAAGATGGAAAAGTTGCAGAAGAGAAAGGGTTTAAGAGGAAGATATATGGACGTCAGAAGCACAAGTGGAACGTCAGCCTCAAGAGCCTTCCTTTTACTTTTGCTGCTCTCGTCATAAGAATCATGAGCAGGCACAGAACGGCAGATCAAATGGAGTCTGAGAGTATGGGCAGACAAGTGTAGTTTCACCCTTTGACTATTCTACCTATGTGAGCATTGCTGGAGACGATGGCGACCTCTTTCCCAGCTATCGATGAATGCACCCGTCGTCTTGAAGAAAGGCTGATGGTGGCACCCTGAAACAGCCCAACGACGAGCAAAATGTAAGGTGCATGTTCCGCAATGTTGATCCATGCTGGCTTGTCACTGACGACTTTCACGCTTTGTAAGGTGTTCACTAACACGGCTGCAGATTCTGAGTTCTCCCCTGCCACGGATTGTTGACGGCAATGACAATTGCAGCAATACTGTTCAAGGAAACGATGAGGGAAAGGTGCCGTGGGCAGAGGTCCGACGAATCTCCGCTTGCCAATCCCCAAGAATCGTCCCAAATCCACGAGTGAGAGCCTTCCAGGTGTCGAAGAGAGAAAGGAAGAGAGTAAATTACTATCGAGTAACTCTGCAAGGTGATCAAGAACACAACTTGCCCCTTTTGTTTACATGTTCAAGCAAACAGAGCATGCACCACCTGACCTTCCAATGCATTTCGTCCTTGCTGTTTGCTCGACTGTAGGTACTACCTTCCTCGACACTTAATCCTCAAGCACACAACGTCTGAAAGTTCTTCCAGTTCTCGTTTACGTGGTAATCTTCACTCGGTTCTAACCTTAAGCTGTGTAGCCAGGGGCAGTTTCCAACGCTGGAGGTTAACATGAACTCTGTTGAACTCTCTTGCAGTCTAAAGTGCTCTCCATTGTAGTCACCGGCTGGAACTTTGCTCCCTGGCAGCTGATCCTTCCAGTATATGAGAGGAGAAGTGTTCCACTGCCGATTACCTGCCCTGTCGCATGTGCCTGCATCACAGAAAGATGCACTTCCTGATGTTCTATTTTGGACTTTGACATTGGCAATTGCTTTACTGCAACTTTCATCTTTCCGCGGCAACAGTCTTGATGATCCACTATCAAAAGAGCAACCACAGTCACTGGGGAACTTATTAGAAACCGTTGAGTCTCCTGCTCTTGGTTGTCAAGACTCAACCTTAACCTCCTTAGCATAGGCCATAGGTGCCTACCTGGTATCTAGGGAATCGCTTGTCCTTCCTTCATCTGGAAACGGTTTCCTCAATCCAGTCACTTGCGCCGAATTCGCCTGGCCATCACTTTGAGGTTTCCGAGACTATGAGCCAAGTGCATCCAAAAGGGATCTTGCATTCATGACCTTGCAGCGCAGAGAAGGATCGAAATCCAAGACTACCTTGGACTTAGCAGCACTGCATGTATCCATTACTGACATTGAACGCGTAACGTGATTGCCAACCACGTCAACTTGCTGATGGCATGGCATCACGGAAACGGACTGAGTAACACTTCCTGCGAAGGTCTTTGTCAGACTTTGAAGCCGTTATCATATCGCAAAGATCGTTCAGCCTGTCGACACGAGAGGGTTATGGGGCATCATCCTTGTACAGATGACGGTCCGTCTCATTAAGACCACCATCCTTTGCAAGTTTGTCACCGTCAAATATGTCGATTGCAGTCTGATGGCAGCCGTCAGGAGACGACAGATACCATAAAAGCCAAGCAAGACAGATGATCCTGCTGTCTTGGCAGGGCACAGTGCTCAGGGGTCAACGTCATCAATGCAATACCTCTTAAGAGAACCCTAAGCCGCGTACGCGTAAGCTTCCCAGTAAACACTGCCAGAATCCGACGAATTTGCTTTGTAACTGGCATTTTTGATGAATAATGGGTGGGATTAAGACTTCGTTTGTCGCGAAAGGATCTCATCACTGTATCAACTCAGCAGAAGAAGGGTAGCCGAGCTACTAGGGCTGGACAGGCATACCACGAGTTTTCATCAGGGAGTTGAAATAATAGCTGGTAATATTGCTCTGAACTGCCGTACAGTTCTGAAGCCTCTGACAATCCACCACAACTCAGTGACCGCGACCCTGTGAATGCCTTCTTCCTGTTCATCGTGCGGCGGCTGGTACAGACAGCATTGTCAGAACACAGCCAATCAATCAGCTCTTCTTGCAAACGCCGTGTAGAAATAATTTCGTTCCAGATGCTGATATGATGGTCCAGTCGCATAAAAGGAGTTGGGGCAGTGGTTATAACATCCGAGTACGAGAAACACAGAATGGCGGTGTTCGGCTGGGCATGTGCAGACATACTCTGAAACAGTGACACTCTCTCGTATAGAACCGGGTTCCATTGTCAGCCGTCGCTCGCGGGGGAATGTAACCCGGCAGTAATAAGACCAGATTCGGACTTTCAACAGTCGATAGCCCAATCCCATTCACGGAAGCGATATCGATGCCAAAGAATCAAGCTTGAGGTCACCAACGACACGATGTTATCGACACAAGGGCTCGACATGACGGGAGAGGAAGAAATTACAGCGAGTCGAAAGAAGGATCAATAATCTGAACGAGTCACCACCCCGTGTATAAGAACACTAAAGATTCCTCTCAAACTAAAGCCCTCAATCACACTCGCTTCATACTTCATCAACAGCCTCTCCAACACTTTCACACAGAGACACTCAAATCAAGTCTAAACATGCGTACCTCCACAACCATCTTCTCCCTTGCCGCGGGGGCAACTCTTGCTCTCGCCGGCCCCATCGACGTGCGCCCAAGATCTTCTGGTCCGGAGCCTATCACCTCGCTTCTTCCTTGGCCTGCCTGTCGCTCAACGATTTTTGCCTCTTCTCAGGCTCCTGTGTCGACCATTGTGGCCTCTTCTCAAGCCCCTGGTTCAACCATTCGGGCCTCGTCTCAAGCCCCTATTTTAACCATTACCGCCTCCTCGGTAGCTGCCTGTCCGACCGTTAACCCTTCTGCGTCTGGACCTATCTATATAACTCTAACTGTTACCGCGTCTTCTGTTGGACCGATCTTTGGGACTGCTTCCGCATCTTACGTCGGATCTATTCGTCCAACTGCAACGACCTCGGCATCTTACGTCGGCTCTATCCGTCCATCCGGGACTGTTTCCGCATCCTACGTCGGATCATTCCGTCCATCCGGGACTGCTTCCGCATCTTACATCGGATTTATCAGCCCAATTGCAACGGCCTCGGCGTCTTATGTCGGAAGTCTTGAACCTCGTCCCACTGCCACCGTCATCGCATCTTCCGCCAGACCCTCTGTGAGGCCCAGCTCTTTCATAGCATAACTTGGTAGTAAAAAACCACTAAGCGAATCGCTGGAAGGAGGTACTTGTGGCTTGTTGGAAATATGTTGTGAGGGCTGAAAGACCGGTGTACCGGTATGACCGAAATGGAAACCTGTTGTGGATGGGGGAAACGGGTTGGGAATAACTTCACTTCTTGCATAACGGGACAGGGTTCACCCCCTTTTTCCCCCTCATGATGAACATGAGCGATCATGCTCTTGCGATATACACTCTAAAGATCTACCATAGATGAATGCAGTTGATCAAAATTGAACTTTCTAGACCCGGAAAAATATTCTGGATTCTTCGTGAGAGATGTTAGAACCTAAAAAGGGGCTAAGAAGAAAAACAAAACAGCAAAACAAAAAAAGAAAAAGTGGATGACAACTGTGAGATTCGAACTCACGCCCTTTCGGACCACGGAATCCTGCTGGAGAAGATGGTTATCAAGGATTATTCCTTAACGTGGCGCCTTAGACCGCTCGGCCAAGTTGCCCTCGAGTTATGTGATTGATGCTCTCAGTGTCCGAAAATCCCTCAAAAGGAGGTCCACAGATGCCACATAGCGTTAACTTCTCCGATACTGCAACCATGATCATGATAAGATTCAGATGTGGCATGACAGGAAGTGATGGAATGAATCATAGACATGATAAACTAGGTAGGTATATGTCGCGGAGTTCACATTACCCCTTTTAGTCCCAACATGAGATGTAAACACCAGATAGAAACACGTCATGTACAAAAAAGGGGCAAATTATGCATCAAATTAGGTGTGAGACTAATAAATGAACAGTTTTATGCAGGCACAACTAGTGCATACCCAATCACAACTACACAACAGCCTACTGCAGGTCCGGGAAGCTAAAATGGGGCCTTCATGCACAAACCAGGATTTTGCTAGTCTCATTGCCCCGGTTTTGTCTGTTCTCGGGGCTGTCTCCTCCGAAATGCACTCGGACGGGATGAACTGCGGAGTGAAGAGGATGTTTCCTGGACAAAAACCTGGAGTGCATTGCGCCGTGTCTTGTTTTTTCCTCCTCTCTACTACTAACCCGCATTCTGGGAAACGATTCCCTTCATGCAGCGGAGAATTTATATCTGCTGTTGCGTGGAGCTGGCGATGCTTGCGGATTCTCAACATCTTGGCTAGCTGAGCTTGGCTTGCTCTGACGAAGGCTTGAATGCCTTGACATATGGAGCTCGCGTGCTACTAGTATCTCGGGGATGGGACTTCAAAACCGTCAGACAGAAAGCAAAAGTCTCGAGAGATGTTGAGCGGGCGGTGTTGAACATGTTAAGAGGCAAAGAAATATCTACCCGGAACTGTGCATGTCACGTCGTTCTAGACCGAACGCTCTCTATTGAAAAGGCTCTCTAAGGAATAAACTTATGGAATTCTGTACTTCATAGTTTCGACTCCGTTATATTTGTGGTTTATTGGTGGTGTGTGAGTTCAATTTTCGGATGTGCCCTCCATGAATAGCGATTCTCACTCCTCTTTTCGGAACACAGATGCGCTAGTGATACAGTTGGACTGTAAAAAGAAGGCGGGGTGTTAATTGGTAAGACAGTGATATGTATCGAGAAGGAAGAAGAGGTCCTGGGACTGAAGGTCCCAGAATGTACCTAAATAGGCTAGCCAATACAAAGGTGGGCTGTATCAAAGAAGATACAAGGTGAAATGAGTGAATTTTGTATCAGCAAGGTTGCCTAGCCTCTCTTCCCTTCTGCATACTACCCTGCCACATCGTTTTACCTGGTTTATCAGATCTTGGATTCCGGACCGAGGATATGTTGGGGGCAAGGTAGCGTTCCAACGCGGTGCGGTCGGGCCTAGCTGCAACATGTTTTGAGCTAGCCATCCGAGGTTGGATATCAGCCGCGTTTGAGGGTAGGAAACTTCAGGATGGTGACATCAGCTGTTGTTAGAAGAACGACATGATTTCAGGATCGATAACAAAAGAGGAAACATGCTCACCTGGGACGGCCCGAAAAGAATTCCCCACCGCTTCACTTCATCTAAATGGCGTGTGGCTGGTCCGTCCAGTTTGGACCTTCAAATGTTTGTTCATGAAGCGAGCCCCGCCGAGAAGGTGGTAGGCGAGAAGAACCCGGAATGGTAGGCATGGCAGGTAAAGCTGGGACCTCGGGCGTCTCGTCCATGTCCCGATGGCGGCGGTAACTCCGTGGACTGGGTACAGTGTGAGACTCCTCATTACCCCTACCCGTTGACCTGGACCTGGACCTCGAGGGTTCTCGTCTCGCTGTCTCTCTGGGGGATTCCACTGAGCGACCCCTGCGGGATTGAGAGGATGGTTGTGGGATGGAGCTTTTTCTTGTTGAGCTCGACGGTGAGCCTGACTCTGCTGCAGACGGTGCCCCCGACACTTCTGACGACGAACCCGTTGACGACGCTGTCCCGATATTGGCACCGTTATTCACCGCCCGCGTCCCGGCCGCTGCTAACGACCCAAATGTTGGCAAGGGCGTGGATGTCGGCAAGGGTGTCGTGTCGTAGTAGGTGTCGTTGATCTGGAAGGCTGCCGGCGATCCGCCGTACATACTGCTAGTGGAGCCACGACGGCTGCGGACGGATCTGGTGGAGCTGGCACGGCTGGACGTCGGTGTCGCATGGTGCGTGGGGGGCACTATGCGGTGTCGAGAGTAGGTGGTACGTGTCGTGTTGTTCCTCGTCAAGCCGTCACCACCTCCCTTGAAAGATTCAGTGTCGAAGTCGAAGGGACGGATAGGATCCCAACTCCCGTTGGTATCCCAGCGCTTGAGATCGAACGCAGAGCTCCTGTCCGAGTTGGATGTCCGAGTTGACATTGACCTCTCTAGCTGCTTCCCAGGCTGATATGTCGGAGTGGGCGTGAGGAGCTCGGGCTGTTTGGGGTGCCCGCCAGTGCGGTTCTCTTCATCCTCGGCAGCATGGGCGGCGGTGGCCTGGTCTCGCTTTGCCTCGAAACGCTTCTTGATGTTGCGGGCGACACTAACGGCGACGACGACGGGGACCCATCCAAAGCCGCATACCATGCCAATCATGACGATGGTATCGTGAACGTTGCCATGCCATTCGTGCCCCATTTTGCATTGTTCCTCACCGTCGTCTTGGGGTTGTTTCAAAACACAGTGATTTCACGTCTATTTCAGGAGAGCCTCGTGGGAGTCCCCAACTCCAGCCGAGGACACCTACAGAGCCAGCCCATCATCGACTGCGCTGTGTCAGACATTGAGCTCGTATGGAGATGAGAGTTCATGATGGCTGAAGACAGCCGTGGTTGGTGTGCATACGCATGCACGCCAAAGCCTGCAATGCTGACATTCATCCCTCCATTCTCAATGGAGGACAGTAATCAAGAGATGCGCTATGCTGCTTCCGAGCGAAACAAATAAACATCGACCATTAAACAAGTGCGTATTCTGCATTACGATCTGAAGGTCGTTTGACATACGACGTCACGACGACACAGCACCCTCAACTTCGGTCAAAATCCTCGACGGTCAAAAAAGACCATTCAAACCCAAAGTTTCCCTGGAATCGTACTGGAGCCGATGAAAAAAAAAGGCTTGAGAGCTTTACTTTGATCTGAAAGAAGCGAGGAAGAGAGAGGTCGTCCCGGAAGAGCCTGCCGATGTCAAACGGGAAGAACGGAGAGGGGTCCTTCGGGCATTGCCAAGAGGGATGGTGGTCCACCTGGTTGTCTTGGTGGTCTTGGTGGGGTTCGTGCTGAACTTCGGACGAATCCGCTGCCAAGCACACGATCTGAATGAGGATCCACTTTCCGGGTTCACTGACACTCACACTGAGGTGCCTTCCTCGCTCTTCTGATTGCCATGCGAGACCACCAAAACGAACCACGATGCACCATCAAGTGCTGCAGCATGACAACCGTAATATAGGCAGATTGCAAGGCCTTCCTCTTTCCCGGTTTTCACGTTTCCGTCTGTTCGGTTTTAAATTGATTTTTGAGCCTCAATGGGAATGTTAACGACATTCAAGGAAATTGTTCTATTTTGAGAATCATATGCGACAACTTGAAATACACCCCAAGTCTTGGTGATGGTAAACCTCTTCTTCCGCACGTGTCGCGCGCCAGATGCACACCAACTCAAACCCGACCAGACTTTACCGAATCATGGTAGCTGTCAGGAAAACAGCCAGCCAACTCTGACAGCGCGTCATCAGCAGAATTGAGCGCCACATTTCCTCAATCCGGAATGCCGGGTTCTCGGGCCTCTCTTGTTGATGTTGAGTGGGCGGTGCAGGAGACAGAATGCAGACAGAATGCGGGGCCAGTCAACGGTCTGCCGTCTGCCACTGCATGACCCTTCTCATCTTATCTCGATTCTCGAGGTTACAGGTCGACGCGAGCACAGAACAGAATGTGGGGTAATTACAGTAGCTGTGCAAGCATTCCCCAGAAATTTCCCCAGATCAAGATAATTCAGGGACTCGCTTGTGCGAATTGGCGAAAGCTTGCGATTCTTGGTTAGTTCAGTCCACCATGTTGACCGCGTGTTGACGTGTCGACAGTTGGCGCCGGCGAGGTCCTCGCGTCAAGCAACCGAGATGGACGAGAGACAGACAGCCTGACTGTGGACGGCAATTCGGAGCGTCACTGCGTAAAAAGCTCAGCTCATCATAATGATCAGTGAGAAGGGAAAAATTCTTCTCCAGTTCCTGGCAAGCTGGTGCATTTCCAACGGTCACCAGGCGTTTGTCGGCACCCACTTGGCTTAGGAGGGATGTTGCACTCGGCGGATGGCCTCCGTGAGAACCCTGGACACAACACCAAAAATGACCAAATCCGCCCCAATAAACGGCAGTTGCCCCTGTTCATCGTTGTGCAACCTTTAATCTGGCCATCTCTTCGGCTCCACGATTCCTCTGTCCGTGCCCAGACTCTGCCTCCACCATAGCGGCCTCGGAGTGACATCGTCGCCTTTGGTCCCGGTGACCATTGACCGTTTGGGCATGTCGCCGCAACGGATGATGGCGGTCGACCTTCTTCCCAACACTTCCAACCCAGCCGACCCCGCGCCAGCGCCTTTCTGACCAGTCATCGTGAGTGCGAGGGGGAGGACTCAACCGCTCGCCGCTCGAACCCTACAGACCAAAACAAGCGACATGACCTCGGTGCTCGCCTCCATGCTGCCCGACTGAGCTGGATCAGCTTGTCACGGTCCTCTTCCCTCCTCGGTCTTCTACGGGCCAAGCGTCGAGGTCACACCTGTTGCTTCCATGAAGCGTCGACGGGCCGGAAGCCGTTTCCACGAGGCAACGATGCCATTCCCTGGGGCTGCCCCATCTGTTCGTGGTGAGAGACTGACGGGGGCTATGTGCTGGATGGAGGAGGCTTCCGTGAATCCGCATGGTAGGTTCCTTGGATGGTGGCAATCCGGCAAGGAAAACGAAATTGGTTGAAGATGGGTGGAAAGGGGAAGTTAACTGGGTGTCGATGACTTTCTATATAACTCAACAACTCCTTT